AGGAAGAGATGAGGAGAGAAGAGAGTAAAGAGAATTTGTTAATTTGTTAATCTCAGTTAACCTCAATCTGGCTACCACAAAAGAAAGTCAAGAAACAAAAGAATTGTGAAAATATCATCCTTACACAGTTCTGAGCTGCGGCCCATAGTGAGCCATCACTTCTACCTCATCTGTGAAATTGTCGGTAGGCATTTACTGAGCCTCTGGCTCTGACCACTAGAGGCTCTAAAATCTCCTCCATCAGCTTCTTGCCTCAGTCGGCAATCTGAAAAGGGTATCCATGTGGCTGTGTGTCTTGACACGGCAATCCTTGGAAGCATACAGTTAAGAGCATAAACGTATCCAGAAGTTCCTTTACCTCCCTTGTTCTGAGTTCAGCTACTCATGCTGTCAAAGTCCCAAGCTTCCTGTACCCCAAACACCCTTTCTTTGCTTCCGAGGCCTCCAGCTAACTCTTCGTCTCTCTGCAGATTCTCCAACCAAAGTGCGGCTAGTGGGAGGTGCCCACCGCTGTGAAGGGCGAGTGGAGGTGGAACGCAGAGGCCTGTGGGGGACTGTGTGTGACGATGGCTGGGACTTGAAGGACGTGGCTGTGGTGTGCCGGGAGCTGAACTGTGGAGCAGCCAAAAGAACCCCAAGTGGTGTGTCCTTTCAGCCGCCAGCACCAAAAGAGCAAAAAGTTCTTATTCAAGGAGTTGACTGCAGTGGGACGGAGGACATGTTGGCTCAGTGTAACCAAGATGATGATGTTTTCGATTGCCCACACGCAGAAGACGCTGGGGCAGGATGTGAGGGTAAGTACCGGGGGCCATCTCTCAGCAGCCTGCACCCCGCGTGGCCGTTATTTCCTGTCGTGGGCTTTCACACAGTACGCGGGTGAACAATGACAACATTGTTACATTTCACACTCTCTTGATGGCGAAACCTGGATGTGACGAAGCCCAGAATTCTTCCCATACTGTGTCTTTGTTAGTCTACAGGTATACAGGAGATCGTATTTTATTTACATAGGTGTAAACGAAGGCGTGCAGGTCCTCCAGCCACTGAATGTCTTTCAGCGACTATGTCCTGAACAGGGATGGAGCTCGCGAGCTTTAATCGGCGCACTGTAAACATTTCAGTGCTCAGGTGTCCATCAGCTTAGTTGGGGAGACAAAGCGCGGTCTCCAGGGAGATGAGCACAGCACATGAATGTGCAAGCCATGCCGTCTCACAGACAGATGGGCGCACATACGGAGGCAAGCGTTTCTTCGCTCTTCTCCACCATTGTTTCCTATGAACTAAAAGCATATGTGTGCTTTCTCTGAAGACTGATCTGGCCGCAATGCTTCTTTCTTTTTGTCTCCCCACAGGATTTATCATTAGAGAAAGGATGACCCTTCTTAAGTTAAATTGTTAAAGTTCCCCTCCCCCTTTTTTTTGGAGTCAAGATTTGGGAGCATTAGTCTGGGACATTTGATTCATGCCAACATTGAGCCAAAACTATTTTGACATTTCATGTTAATATGTGTGTTTATTAATATGTATTAAAACCATACTGCTTTTAACTATCTCTTGTGAGACCAATAAAAAGTTAAAATGGAAATAATTTGAAAAACTAGAATGCTACAGAAACGATTGCAGTTTATCTGGGGACTAGGAAGCCTTCAGGTCCTTCTCTGCGCCACCATCCATTACGTGGTGCTTACCACTCTAATAGACTTGCACCTTTTCTGAGAAGACTGTGTTCTGGCACGGAACAGACATTGCCTCTCCCTTCTTTCCAGACCCAGACAGCGATGGCCCCTTCATCCCAGAGAATGTGCGACTCGTGGCTGGCCCGGGGCGTTGCCAGGGCCGAGTGGAGGTGCTGCAGCAGGGCCAGTGGGGCACGGTGTGCAGAGCGGGCTGGGACTTAAGGGCAGCCAGGGCGGTCTGCAGGCAGCTGGGGTGCGGGCGGGCGCTCCTGGCCCACAGGTGCTGCAACAAGACTATGCAGGGCAAAGGGCCCATCTGGAGGGGCAAGATGTCATGTTCTGGACAAGAAGTGAACCTTCGGGACTGCCCTTTCAGTCCGTTGGAGAACGAATGTACCCATGATGAGGACACATGGATGGAATGTGAAGGTAAGACTCTGCTTTGCAGAGACTAGACTATTCATCAATGTGCTTACATGGAAACCCAGGCAATCTACTTATAAAGAACCATTCATGCACTAAAGGGCCGTTGCAAGTTTATATATTTGTGTTGATTGGCAATTCTCTTAATAACCCTTAAAACTGCATTGTGGGTCATGCTATGAACGGTGATACGGAATGCTGTGCACAGGGTATATCTGCTGAGCCCTTCAGCTCTCAGTAACCACTGGAACTTTATACACGCTACGCATCTATACATAAGACATATTTATAAATACCATATACAGGTAGCTATTGTATTTAAAAGACGAGGTGAAGATGTTCTAGTTAGGGAAACAGAGCTGACCGTGGGACTTGGCAGTGGTCAAGTCTTGGGGAAGCAGCAGCTGTCACCAAGACACACAGTTTCATGGTTTGGTAACCATGTGCAGAATCTGATTTTTTCCTTTCACCTCTTATGTCACCACCTCCCTCCTTCAACCTGCAGATCCCTTCAAGCTGAGGCTGGTGGGAGGAGACAAGCCCTGCTCAGGGAGGCTGGAGGTGCTTCACAAGGGCACGTGGGGCTCTGTCTGCGATGATGGCTGGGGAGAAAAGGAGGACCAAGTAGTGTGCAGGCAGCTGGGCTGTGGGAAGTCCCTCCTTCCATCCTACAAACCCAGGAAGAGCTATGGACCTGGGGCAGGCCGCATCTGGCTGGATGACATCACTTGCTCGGGGGAGGAGACGTCTCTGGAGTTCTGCCAGCACAGGCTGTGGGGGTACCACGACTGTACCCACAAGGAAGATGTGGCAGTGATGTGTTCAGGTAAGCCCTACTGACCTTCTAAGCTTGCACTTCAAGGGACGAAGGAGGAAGAAAGGCAGACGCACTCTGGGGGTCAGAGTAACTCCATCTAGCCTGCAGAGCTGCTGTAGTCTTTACCTACCTAGAACCCCGGCTCTGAGCAGTTGTTTGGTTTTTCTTTGGAGAGGAGGAGAGCTTGGTGATGGACAAGGTTATATGTATAAAATATATACATAATACATGTGCTAATGTGGTTATTGAACACATGAATAAGAGGAGTTGGGCAATGTCCTTTCAGTAAACATGAAAAAAGTGAGTCAGAGAAAGCAGTTTTCCAAATCATGAAAACAACTTTGAAATTATGCAGCAGAACTGAATTGATTAGTCTTTGCTTTCAACCCCAGACTAGCTCTCGGAGGTGAGCCCAAACTTCAAGCCCTAAATTTGAGCTAACTGTAGAAGGCAGCCTGACCTCTCTCTGTTGCTGCTTCCAGGGTGTATATAAGAGCTGGCGGTGCTGGCAGGGACCCCTTCTGAGAATGTCTGAGAGCATCTTGCCAAAGAGTAGAGGATCTCAGCCCTAAGCCATGGCCTCCTCCCAGGAGTGAAGGAGCAAGTGTGAGAGGAAGGTCAAGTGTAATGTGGAATTAGGATGGGGAGGAGGCTCCAGGGAGCTCCTTGCTGTGAGCAGCTAACTCTAAAGTAAGCTCAGGCAAAAAGACTCTCGTCCCATTCTCATCAAGGGTTTTTGTGAGTGTGTAAGGATAGTCAGCTGTCTTTTCCCTGCATTCTGAACTTACGGATTCAGAAGTATCTGAAACACAAAACTACCTGTACTAAACACAGTTTCCTTATCTCTCTTCCCTTACGGTGCAGTGTGACAGCTGTTCACACAGCAGCCATGTTTTGTTCAGGGTCCTAAGTCACCTAGAGATGATGTAAAGCACACAGAGGGTGAGCTTAGGTAGTATGCAATTTCTTGTTGTAACTGGAAGGGAGACTCTTCCCGCACCTGCAGTCGCCAGCATCCTTGGGGATGCTGGCCTCAGTTGTCTGTGAATGCAGAGGGAGGCTGGCACTGTTGGTGACTCACAAGGACGCAGCTGTTGTTCCTTTGGAGTATAACCCCAGGTGTCTCATACTGTTGGGGAAAAAGTTACACATGTGGCTTTGCTCTCTCCCATTCTGGCCCTTGATCCGCTTGTTGGCTAGTTTAGCTTGAGAGCAATGAGCCTTTCCGGGCCTACTTCTGCCCTCACTGTGCTTTCCTCTTCTTACATAGAACAGTAACCTGGATGTTGACGCGTGACCCAGATCCCTGCTTGTTCAGTCGGGCCCTAAGTGTCCGTGTGGACTTCAGCCACCTCTCCCTCAACCTTTCAGGAGTCTGAACATTGTGCTCACGTCTTGATCTCCCGGTTATCCAACCCTATAATAACCTCAAGATTCGAGCTGCTTGCTGATGATGTGTTTCCACAGCTCTGTGGTTGTGTTCACCCCTCGAAATCCCTCGCAGCCTTTACAAACTGCCCTCGGCACACCTGCAACTCTTGGGGCTGCCAGTGTGGCCTGCCTGTCTGGAAGCAACATTGAGGACGTGAAAGCACAACGGAGCTCTTGAAAGGGAATGTGGGTAGACAGTATTTTGGAGGTGGGGAGGAAAATAGATTTTTAAAATGCTTGTAAAACTTTACAAGCTCAGTAATCATGGCATTAGCACGTCACTGCGCTCTCAGAGGAAGCAGCATGGTGTTTTCCGTAGCCCTGGGCTGTTACATGTTGGGTTCTCGATGTCTACTTAGAACTCTTTGTCTCAAGTTTGGTTCTAATGCAACAGAATTCTGAGGTGGAGCCTTTGGGACCTAATGACATCACATGGTTTGGACCCTCAGCCCTCGTGAGTGGATTACCCACTGGTGAACCCACTGGGAGATGGTAGAAACTTCAGGAACGAGGACCAGTTAGCAGAAGGTCATTGGGTGTGCCTTTAGAAGAGAACATTTTGTCCCAAGCTTGACCCCTCCCTCTACTGACGGGTTGATTCCATGTCTTAGCTACTGCAAATTAGGCTGCAATAAACACAAGTGTGCTGGTACTTCTTGATATGTTGATTTTATTTTCTTATATTTATGCCCAAAAGTCAGCAGCAATTTTATAACCACATAGTCATCTCATCCATGGGGTGATCTTCAGAAACTCTGAGCAGCACAGGCCGGGGCTCTGGTGGCAGCTCTGGTTGTCCTGGGGTTAGTCAACACTTTCCAGGAACTGGATATTGTGACACACAGTAGAGTTCTCCAGGTAAGTGGATTTCCAACAAGTTATTCTGGACCTGGGAAAGGATATTTCTCACATATGACAGAGACCAGAAGAAACACACAGATAATCACAACACACACGTACAGAGAGGAGCACATAGGAGGTACACCAAGGTACAGGGCAGAACTTGGGATCCAATGGCATCCCTGACTTTATGTAACAAACCGCGTGTAAGCAGAGTAATTTTAAAAACTGAGTTGTCTGGTATTGGTTTTAGTACTGCTAACCAAAAGAACCCTAACCAGTTTACTCATTTTAAATTAATGAAGTGGTAATTTACCCACATTTCCCGAGCCTGATTAGATAAGCTAGTTGTTAGCAATGCAGAAATTGCTGTTGCATTTATACAACCAAACTCACAGATATGACAGCGCAGGGACAGGGCCTGTGACGGCTGTGCCACTCCAAAGGGTTGACCATGAGTGCACTTTTAGGCACTATTGAATGCCTAAAAGCTAACAGTCACAAATAAGAGAAAACTACGATAAAAAAATTGCTTGCTGGGGTCTAGTTACATTACCAGGATGACTTTTCTAGCTTCATCCACTTTCTTGCTAAATGTATAGTTTCATTTTTAAATAGCTGAACAGTATTAAAGTGTGTGTGTACCCGGTTTCACTATTCATTAGTTGGTGGACAGCTACACCGTTAACAATTTCTGCCTATTTTGAATAAGTCAGCAATGAACATGGTGGTCAAGCATCTCTACAGCACGATGTTGAGTTCTTTGGGTACACTCCCAAAGGTTGTATAGCTGGATCTAACCCCAACTTCCTGAGGAACCACCACACTGATTTCCACAGTGACTGTGCAAGTTTGCAGTCCCACTAGCAATGAAAGTGTTCCCTTCTCCCCACACCCTGGCCAGCACGAGCTGTCATTTGGTTTATTGATTTGGGCCATTCTGACTGTTGTTAAGTTGAAATCTCAGTTTTGATTTGCACTTCCCTGAGGACTAAGGGTGATGGACATTTCTTTAAGTGTTTTTCAACTGTCTGTGGCTTATCCTTTGAGAACTCTCTGCTGTTTTTAATTGGGTTGTTTGGTTTCTTGTCCACTGTTCTTAGCTTTTCATGCACTTCATCTACTAACCCTCTATTAGATGTCCAATTGATGAAGATCTTTACCATTCTGTAGCCTGCAGCTTTGTCCAAATGATGGAATCCTTTGCCATATGAAAGTTTTTCATTTTCAGAAGGTCCCATTTATTAGTTGTTGCTCTTAGTGCCTGTGGTATGGATGTCCTGCTCAGAAAATCTTTTTTTTTTTGTACTGAGTTCAAGTCTATTCCACATTTTTTTCTTTATCAGACTCAGGGTATGTGGTTTTGTGGTGAGACCTTTGTTCCATTGGTGTTGAATCTTGTGTGAGGTGATGAATATGGATCAGTTTGCATCCTTTTACAGCCTGAGGTGCACCATTTGTTGAAGATGCTGTCTTTTCTCCAGTATGTATTTTTGGCTTCTTTGGCAAAAATCAGATGCCCTCAGGTTTTCATCTTAGATTCAATTCCTTTGATCATCATGTTTGTTTTTATGCACTACTACACTGTTTTTACTGTGATGGCTCTGCAGTACACTTGGAAAGCTGGGATGGTGGTGCCGTTAGTCATTCTTTTATTATTCAGACCTGTTCACATTATCCTGGTGTGTCTATGTGTGCAGACGTGTGTCTGTGTGTGTGTTTCCATATGAAGCTGAGAACTGTTTTGTTTTGTTTTCAATTTCTCTGAAGAATTGTGTTGTAATATTTATGGTAATTGAATTGAATCTATAGGTTGCTTTTGGTAGAATGACATTTTCACAATGTTAATCCTACTGATCAATGAGCATGGGAGAGTCTTTCATCTTCTGGTGCCTTCTTCAATTTCTTTCTTATGTTGTAATATTTGTATTATACAAGTCTTTAAATGCTTGGTAGGAGTTATCTCAAAATATAGTTTTTGAGATATTGTGGAAGGTGGTGTTTCTCTGGTTTTCTTCTGTCAGTTTGTCCTTTCTAAATAGGAAGATTGCCAATTTTTCAGTGTTTATTTTGTATCCAGCTACTTTACTGAAAGTGTTCATCAGCTATAGAAGTTTCCAGGTGAGTTTTCTTTTATATATAAAATCTTATCACCTTTAAATAAAGATACTCTGACTTTTCTTTCCATTGTGTCTCCCTTCCTCCTTGGTTGTCTTATGCTTTAGCTAAGACTTCAAGTACTATATTGACTAGGTATGGAGAGTGAAGAACCTTGTCTTGTTCCTGATTTTACAGTAAGTGCTTGAAGTTTCTTTATGTTTAAGTGGGTGTCGGCTGTGGGAGTGCAATAAATTGCTTTTATTATGTTGAGATGTGCCCCTTCTGTCCTAATCTCTCTAGAACTTTTCTCATGAAGGGGGTGTTAGATTTTGTCAAAGGCCTCTTCTACATCTAATGAGATGGTCATGTTGTTTTGGTCTTTCAGTCTCTATATAGTGGGTTACATTTATCAATTTTCATATGTTGAGCCATTTCTGCATCTCTGAGATGAAGCCTACTTGATCATGGTGGATCTTTTTAATGCGTTCTTGGATAAAGTTTGCAAGAATATATTGAAAAAATTTTATCCATGTTTATATGGGATATTGGTCTATGCTTTTCTTTTTGTGTGGGTCTTTGCATGGTTTAAATATCAGGGTAATTGTGGTCTCATAAAAAGAATTAGGACATGTTCCTTCAGTTTCTGTTTTGTGGAATATTAGAGTTAATTCTTCTGTGAAGGTCTGGTAGAATTCTACACTAAATCCATCTGGTGGTGGCTGCTATAACAAAAAATAACAACAGTACTGTTCTATTAGGGTCAGAGATGGGTTTAGATCTATAGGACAGGACAAGAGCCTCCACAGAGGGTGGCTTTCATATTGAAATTTTTTTTCAGAATTTTATATGTGAATACTGTATTTCCATCATTTCCATCCCTCCTCCTATCCCCTCCAACTCCTTCCATGCCTCCTCCAAATAACTCCCTTTCAAACTCATGACCTCTTTTTAATACACATAATCTATAATATATTAATATTAATATTAAATTATTTGACAAAACATTATATTAAGTATATATTCTACTGAGTCTATTTGGTGTTACATACACACTCTCACACACATATGTACATATACATATACCTGTGTTTAGCGCTGACCATTTGTGTCTTCATTAGGCTTCTATTGATGTAATGAGGCACCACGGCCAAAGCAACCTAGAGAGGAAAGGGTTTTCCTCACCTCACAGATTCTAGTCTGTTACCAGGTAGGGCAGGGCAGGAAGTCAAGGCAGTGCTTTCTTACTCACCCCGACCACCTGCCTGCGGAGTCACCATCTCTGCTGGGATGGGTCCACCCACATCAATCACTAGTTAAGAACATGAAAAGCAGGCTTGCCTACAGCCCAGTCTTACAGAGGCATTTTTCACAACTGTGGTTCTGTCTACTCAGATAACTCTGGCTTTTGTCAAGTGGACAAAAAAATAGCCTATCAGGCAGCTCACCCTGAAGAGAAACAATTCTCCCTTGCTTCAAAGCAGTTTATGCCTTGTAGCTCTTCACGTACCATGCAGATCCATTTCTCAGTGTCTCACTGACTGAGTCCTCAGGGTATCAAGCTTAGCGATACTCACTTAGGTTTTATTACTCCCTTATAGCGTTGCCTTTAGTCCCTTCCCATCTACATCTCATCCCCCAACAGAGGCTGTTTTTGCTTCCCTTTCCCAGATATCTTGCTACCAGGAGCATGGACACAGTCACCTACACAGGCTGCTGTGACTTTTTTTAAACTGTAAGATGAACTTCAGTTTTCGGTAGAGGTAGTCAGGAGCCTTCAACAAGAAGACTCGGCTCATCTGTGACGTGTAAGCCTTATTCTCTCCAAGGCTGTTTTGAAATGCACCATGTTGTTTTTTCTCTACATCCTACAAGTCTTAGCTGGTTCAACAAGCCAAAAAATAAAAAATTAAAAAAAAAAACCAAACAAACAAAAAGACAAGTATACAAACTAGAAAAAAAAATGAGAATGTTTCTATTCACAGCTATGACCAAATGTAAAAATCCTGGGCTCAGGGGGTCCTGCAGAGCCTGATGCACCAACGAGGACCATGAATGGAGAGGACCTAGACTTCCTGCTCAGACATGGCCGATTAGCAGCTCAGTCTCCATGTAGCTCTCTGTGGGAGGGGATCAGGGGCTGCCTCTGTCATGAATCTGATCACTGGCCCATGATGATCCACTCTTGCCAGGCCATGGAGGAAGAGGATTCAGGCAGTCCTGATGAGATTTAACAAGCTATGGGCAGATGGCAATAGTGGAGAACTAACTGTTTCAGTGGACTAGGGGAAAGAGAGAGGGGAAGATGGAGGGAGGGTGGGACTGGGGGAGTTGAGGGACGGGGCTTCAATTGGAATATATAATGAATAAATTGTGAAGAAAAAAAAATAAAACTTAGAAAAAAATGCCGGCTCTACCAATAAACTACTCTTAAGTTAGCAAAATTTTCATATACAAAATTAATTGTATTTATATGTAAAGCAGCAATTAAACTTGAACATGTATAATATTTCTGCTTACAATATAATCAAGACCTACATATCCTTGTAGAACCAAGGATATGTTCAACAAAAGTATAAACCACCCCAACACTGAAAACCATATAACTCCAGGGAGAACTGTTAAAGAACACCAAAGGTCACAGGACTAGACTGTTAATTATCTACACCATTTTCTTGCCTGAAAGAGAGGATTTCTGAGACATAGCAAACATGACGTAACTATAAAATTTGTAAATTTGACTTTGCCAAAATAAGAGAACTCTTTGAAGTGCATTGGTAGAAAAATAAGAGGTAGATTCATAAACTGGTCCAAACTGCCAACCACCTACAGTTCTACCAAAAAGACTCTCTCTCTGACTATACCTGAAGTTAGTAATTGGATAAATAGCTCTGGCTCTAAATAATGATATACATTATCCTATTTAGACACTGCAAGACAGAAAACATGTAAGTCTACAAACACAGAACAAACACTCAGAGGGAAGCTGGTGGGTCTGAATGGCTGAAAAGTAATGTCGTGGTGGGGGCTCAGATGGCTGGTGGGAATGTAAAATCACTTACAGAAAAAAAAACTTTTCCAAAGTTAAATATCTCCAGACCCAACAATCCCAAATATTTACTCAAACACTTACACACAAGGGTTTACAGGTACTTTGTCAATAAGGCATGAATAGATCTCAGAAATACTAAGCTAAGGGAATAAATTCAGAAACAGAATAAATATTATACATTTTCATTTTTAGGAAGCCACAGATACTAATCTAATCTATAGTAACAGAATGCAGACAAACAGTTACACAGGCTTGGGGTGCCTGAGAAGTGGTAGGTACACACACATTCTCACCCACACGCACACACCCCACAACCAGCCTGGGAGAAATGAAACACTGGATTCCACGACACTGAAACTTCTATAGAATTAAAAATTTTTTTCTGGTTTTTCAAGGCAGGGTTTCTCTGTGTAGCCCTGGCTGTGCTGGACTTGCTTTGTAGACCAGGCTGGCCTCACACTTGTAGAAATCCACCTGCCTCTACCTCCCGGAGTGCTGGGATTACAGGCGTGCGCCATGGTGCCCAGCCATATAGGGAGAGTGAAAGGAAGACACCTGGACCCAGCTGGAGCGGGAGTTTTCCTCCTGGGACTCCACACAGTTCTAACCTGTGACAGTCCACCTTCCAGGATGGAAGCCCAGACAAGGACAGGTCAGTGGTGGGCAAACCACACCTTGACCAGGACTGCACAGAGGCGCACATTGCTCCCCTGACCCCTTTAAAACTTGATCTCATGTTGAATCGCCAAAGATGGGCTAGGGAGATCACTGTATCTCTTGTCCCTCCTAATATGGCTACTTGGAGTAAATATCCTCTTTCTGGTTTTGATATTTATCTGGCTGTTCTCAGTGACCCACTGAGGGTGAGCGGCGACAGCTGACTAGTATTTTCTAAGCGGTAATGTACCAAAGTCCCTGTCCTCGGATCCCTGAGAGACAATGGGACAGGGGTTCTCTGTCTGAGCCTGGCATAGTGGGCTTGTCAAGGAAGGAGAGCTCCTACTCCCACGGAATAAAGAGATGGCTTATTCTGGAGTGAACAAGAGTGATCATGGCCCAAAAGCACAGAGTCAGGCCTTTTTTTCTAAATGCCACGTTCCAACAAGGTATCAATTTCTATAGTAACAGAACAAAGAAAGTCATAAAGTAAAGCACTTTTCAAACATGTCAGAAAGTACATCAGGTAGGTGGGTTAGAGCAGAGCAGGGAGCCTTGCACATTTATTAGATTATCTGCTTGGTGAAAACTAGGGCTCCATTTGTACATTCCCCAAAATGTGCCTCATATTGACAGAAGAGGCTGGTTCATGTACAAAGGACAGCAATGGGGAGGCATAAAGATGCCCAAGATAATTCTGGCCCTGCACTTGCAACGTTCCAACTATCACTGAAGTGCAGACATGGCTTTTTCCAGATTGTGACCCCATGTTTAGTAACCACATACATAATGCTGAGATGATACAAATATTCTAGAACAATTACTATGGTTGTATTTAAATCAGTTTAGCTTTGTCTGAAACCATTGCCTGTATACTTATTGAAGGGGCTCTGGCCAGCCCAGCATGGCAAGGCTGGCTCCAGCAGGCCTTGCCCTTCTCTCCGAGCCCCTCTGCCCTACTAAAAACCTTAGATTACATTCCTAAAGCTAGCCCTCAAGGTCTATTCCCTTATTTGGCCACTTCCTCCTCTCGAGGCTGACTACCAATGCCCAACTATCAAAGTATTGAAGTCAGCAATCAAAAGCCCCCTTTGGCTCATCTAATTAACCTGTCTAATCCTAACACCAGGATTCCCATTTTATGGTTATAAACTGCCATCTGCCTATGGGCCTCCAGTACAAATACACCTGCCCCCTTCCCCTTGTCGTCTGACTCCCCCTTTCTCTTGTTCCCTTCCCATTTTCCCTCATGCTCTTTGTCCTCTCTTTGTCTCATATTCCCTGTCCTATGTCCCTTTGGGGAAAATAAGTCACCTTTGTGCTGAGAACTTGGTCTTGGGGGTCCTGGGCCAATAGTTTTCCTTTCACTTATGATGCATTCATTCTAGTTTATGCTAATTGCACTCTGATGGGCAGAATTTTTTAAAAGCCTTTTAATCTATGAAGCAGTATGGAAAGATATTTTAATCTGAAGAAATCAAAGGGCACTGGAGCAGGACACAAAGGAAAAGAGATGTGAAACTGTTGCAAAAGCCCCTCCCTCCTGGACTTCCTCTTCTGCATTTCAAGGGGTGGTGGCTTTCCTGTTAGTCCTGGAAGTTTAAATTGGTCAGACGTCTTCACAAGGGTTTGTGGACACAACTGTCTGGGGTGCACAGATTTCCCTGGACATTCGGCTGGGCTACCTATTGCTGGGCTTACGAGGATCGGAAGCATGGAGACGTCTGTGTGGTTTAAAGCTGCTGGCCTGATGCTGGGCAGTCTCTCAGCTAGCTGTTAAAGTTACCGTGACTTCTCCATACCATCCCTCCGCGTGTGTGGCTCTCCTACCTCTTCCTTCTTGACCGACCGTCTCTTCCCCTCAGCCTGTGTCCCTGCCTGCCCAGAAGTTCAACCCCATACTCTCTGCCCCAGCTCTGGTTCTCAGCTCCTTATTACACACACATACACACACACACACACACACACACACACACACACACACACACACACAAGCCACAGCCCATTCTGAGCCAATCAGCAACAAGACAATCATCTTTTGGGCAGGTGAGAAAGGACAAGTATTTACATATGGGAAGCTGGTGCTGGGCCATAAAAGTACAGTATCAAAATCCTGTCAGTAGCCAGGCACAGTGCATGCTTTAATCCCAGCATTCAGGGAGGCAAGGGCAGGTGGGTTGCTGTGAGTTTGAGACCCAGCCTGGTCTACAAAGTGAGTCTAGGACAGCCAAGGCTACACAGAGAAACCCTGTCTCCACAGCACAGAATTAACAGTTGAAAATACAGGAACACACCTGTGAGGGATGGTCATCCTAATAGTTGCCAGTGCCAGTGTTTCCTGAAGTCGAGTTCACTTCTTTTCCTAATCCTTCTCTTTGCACTTGATACCCAAACTTAGACGGACTTTTCTATCTCCCCTCACAACTCAGCCTTCATGGATTGCCTGGCTAT